TTGGCGAGGAAGATGATGCTAGCATCGGGTGAGTCATGAACGCGGTGGAAAGCACAACGGCTGATCCAGAAGTCTTTGGTTCACCTCTCCTGAAAGTTTCGAGGTTAGCCCCATGGGCTGAGGATTCATTGCGATGGAGTGGTGGTTCTTAATTCCTCCTCCGCGCGTGAGACGGGTGCTGCAAGCAGCTTTGCGAGACCGGGCACTGCACGAATCGGAGGAAGGTTTTTCGCACACGGTGGTCGAAGGTTCGCCCACACGGCGGTCCGATGGAGCTGGATGCCAATGGGCTGAGTTCCATGGAGATGGTGGTAGACGAACCCATCGAGTTGCACAAATTCCCACAGTGTTTGCATTCACTGGGAACCTTTTTCCAATGTAGATGAGAAGGAAGAACAAGCCCATATGCGCAGTCACATTTCATGACATGTTGTGAGGATGTGGCCGTTGTATAATTTTGTGTATATAATCAACATCTATGCATGCAAGGGTGCTTCTTTTTGGAGTTCTCTCTTCAGTTTCTTGCTAGACTTCATCATGCTCGATCAACCCGTTGTCCTTAAGCTTGCATTCAGCCAATTCGTTGCGTGCCAGCCACCGCCTTTTGCTTGCCACCACGTTTCCGGAGAATCCTGCAGTGCCACACAGGATGCCTCTGTGGGAGTTTTTATTTAATAGTGATGCTCAAGCGTTGGAATGTCAAGGTTATGTCAAAATCATATCCGAACACTGCATGTATGGAATATATGCCACATTGACCCCTGAAATCAAGAAACAATGTTGGAAAATAGGTCAGTTCCATGGATCAATTTGGGATATCAACCACTGACCACTGACCACTACCCCTCATGGGAGTCTCATGTTCTCATTGTTTTCTTCGAAAAACCTGGGTGCTTCACACCAACACGAGGCCGCGAACGACTCGGAACGCAGCGGCTGCGCTGTGCTGGTGGCCCGGAGCGCATGTGGGTGTGAGTCGCTGACCTGAGTCGATTGAGATGAAATCGCTGGTTGCATCTCAGGTCCAGTGGGAGGAAAGGATTGAAGGGCATGGCTGTCACACATGACTCGACTGTTAGAAAGGATGCAATATATATATATATATATATGGTGCTGTCCAGTCACGCACTGGTGCCCTGGTGGCCAAATCAACGATTTCAACGGAATAGAAAGACGGGAATCCGGTCATGGATGAATATTGGAGGATGGATGAGCATACATGTCATTTTGGGATTTGCTCTACAGTCGGGTCTGTGAAACATGTCCACTCATGTTGACCACACAATGTATATAGACTCTTGATAAACCTAACCACTCCAATTTGAATTGGACATCCTCTCCAAGCTTGGGGGGGGGTTTAGCCCTTCGGTACTGTTAGACAAGGGCTAAAAGTACCAGCGAATGGTCCTTCATCAGGGACTACTTCAGCCGCTTCTCCTCCCCCCAGGTGCTCCGTTTCTGGCACCCAGGGCTCTCGAAGGAGGACGAACGGTGCCCGGTGCCGTTCCGGTTGGAGCGGCGGTGCACCTGGGACGAGTCCGACACGTGAGGGTTCCTGGAGACCGGCACTCCGATCCGAGCATGGGTTGCCCGGGTGGTTTACCCCAGACACGACCCGATCATAGGACTGCAGGACTGCCGAGAAACGGCCAGGGGTGGTTGACTGGGCAGTCCCATGGCAGTCCCATGGAGTGTTTGGGTATTGTAGACTCTTGATTCATAAACCCCTCATGATGAAGAGGATGTCCAATTCAAATGGGGGATTCTATGGTGCCATCGAAGCTCTGAAACCACTGTAAATTAGTTTGCCTAGGCGATTGATGTAGACCACAGAGACCGATTCACATGATTCACCCTATCTCTCACAGAAGTGGTTTAAGATGGTTTGAGGGAAAATCTACAGGAAAGTCATGGTGTTTCCCTTAAATCAACTCAACAAATCGGAGGTTTAAATTTGTACTTTAAGAGTGGGACCCTCCCAATCAGTGCGTGTCTTTTGTCATGTATCTGCAGTTCTCCAGCGCCGCTGCTGGCCCTCCGGCCGGCACAGGAGCAGCATGCCTTGCACCTGTCTCACTTGCTCTTGGCTGGCACGCACCAAGACCCAGCTGGGACGAGGGGGGGCAATGGGAGCACCAAAATTGCACGAAAGCATGACAACATAGTGAGTGGGATGGCAGAATCTCCGAAAAGCACGTGCTCCTACAAGTGTTACTCTTTCCTATATTTCAGCATCCCACCTGAAACAAAGGATGTTGGCCGCAGCACATCGCATCTCACTTCCGCAAAAGCCAAGAACCGGCCAATGACCATATGTGATGGTGGATCATTATAGTTATATACAGTTATACATAGACAATTATGTCTTATATTGTAAGTATACGTATTATATAGTATTATGATAGACTTATGTTATTTTAATTCTATGCACGATGAACCAAAGTCATACTGGATCAATTGATAGAGGTCTTTTGATAGAAACGATGCCTCCGCCAGTACTACCTACTTGTGTTCACTTGGTCTACCCATAAATCCACAAAGTAACCGCAACATTTGTTCTGAACGTCGGAGAGAACCAATCTCAGAATCGCTGTTTTTCAGCTTCGGCATTGGAATCAAGCCACGGCTTTGGACTGATCGCACGTCGCGTTAGGGTGTAGCCCATTACCAGTATCAGTCGGTGAAAGATATCACTATTTTTTCAGAACGGCCTTTACTACCCATCATCCTCCACTGATACTGGTAGTGGGATATAATATGCGCAAGCCATGGCATTGGTTCTGGTTGACTCCGGTTGCCTTTCCCGACGCCGGGCGATCGTCATGAGGCCTGACCCTGAGAAGAGCAGTTGAGGCAGACCACTCAACCCGCACAGATTGACCATGCAACGATGGGATCTAGAGAGACCCAACAATGCTGACTCTTGGTTTAAGTATTGAGTATTGTTGAGTCAAATATGTTTAAGTCATAATTATATATATTCCGGTTGGCTCCAACGGGTGGGATTGGATGGGTCGGAGTCCGGACCAGAGCTTCCGGTCCGGACGGTTGGACTCATATGACCGGGTGGCAAAGAGATGGGGATGGGTTGGGGTGTTAGTGATTGTTCTTCTCTTATGACATTTGGGAGAAGAACAAGCAACTACAAACACTGTTCCACACTGTTCTGAAAACTACACTGGCATCTGGGTTTCCGGGTTTGTAGTTAGTTTTTGTTTTTGCATGTTCTTCTTTGTCTCTTCTTCTTTGTCTTTGTCTATGTTGTTGTTGTTGTTGTTGGTCAGTGGGCTTTGTGGACGGGCATATGGGCCGGATGTGACTAGACTACGTAGATTCTGTTCATTCTGTTCCGCTTGAGCAGACAAGCGCTAAGGTGATTATGAATCATTGGGGTGTGCAAGTGCAACTCCGTTACAGATTCCGGTGGCGAGTTTTGGAGAAAGGGGACATGGCTGGAAATGCAATCGTTCCGGTGGCGTTACTAGTGTCGTTCCTTAGTTCCTTTGGCCAGGCCCAGTTCCGGTGAGTGTTTCGTTTTTGGGTGTGTGGCTGAAAGCGGGGTGTTTTGTTGGCTGCGTGCCATGGGTGTTGACTTTTCGGCATGATTTGTGGACAGAAGGCGCAACTTGCTTGCAGAAAGGACACGGGGCCATTCTGAGTGTAACAAGTCCAAATACATCCTTCAGAGACAGGTAATGTAGACTCTTGATATCTCTTGATTAATTTCTAATCAAGAGTCTACATTAACGTCGCCGCGTCGCTGCGAATTCTCAAGATGGGCGCATGTTGGGCGACGGGTTGCGTGTCAACTCTTTTCGGACAAGTACAGTGGATGAAACACATCAAAAGATACACAATATGACACACTTATAGAAATGCGTACGGAACTGAATTCGCTCGCCACACGGCAACCTAAGGAACCAATTGCCTACGGGCCAGGTAAGTGAAAAAACCGAAAAGCCTCCACGGAACCTCCAATGCCTCCAGAGCAAAATCAAGTCTCAAGCTCACGAACAACCAAAGTGATTTGCCACTGCATTAGCTCTTTAATCGCAAAGACACTAAGTGCAGAAACAACGTATTGGCCAGCTTTTGCCATACTTAGGTTCTCAAAAGCAGGTACACAGATTGGCGTCCCAATCTGCTTCACGGAGTATAGCACAACTGTAGACTCCCTGCTGCCCCCCTGCGTTCCTATTGCATCCACAAAGTAACAATCCAACTGGATCCCTGTGACTCCAAGGGTTACACACACATCAGATATCCTATGATATGCTGATATGCTAAACTTGGTTATATGGTTAAGTGAAATTGGACAAAGTGTGTCCCGTGTCGTCATGTTGGTGTCCTACTATGGCGTTGAAACTGGTCACTTTGTCCCTCGCTGGTTGGCCGGAGGACTTGTTATTTTTTGTATAAGATCTCGACGTCGACGTTATGGCTTCGCTTGCCCTGCAGAATAGATGTTTGTCGTTATTTTGTTCCCCATTACTGTAGATGTTGAAGCAATCGAGCTTGCTACTGTTCACCAGCCAACTGGTGAACAGATGAAATTGGCCAGGGGAGGCCGCGACGAGCTTGCGGCTCTGAGCGGCCGTGCGGGACAGCGCAGCTTGAGGAGCTTGAGATTGGAATGTTCAAGGCTTTGGCACATGTCATGCCGTTGGGAAACAAGTAGGTCACAAGAAACTTGACCCTTGCAAAGGCCCAGGCTGCTGTCAGGATGCGACCAGAGGAGGCTGCCTGGTGTGTCGCGCGCGAAAAAGGCCAGAACAAGCAGAGAAGAGTGCCATGTTTGTTTCTTGGGGAGGGGTTCTCCAATGCAAAAGAAAACCCCGGTTCACCGCCTGTCCCACCAGTTTGTGGCATCAGAGAAGGAACTTCCCAGGCGATTTCTGGATGTTAATTAGCGATATGCGTGTCTCACAGAGCAACTCTGTGAACCATCAAGGACCCTGGAAGGGATCTAGAATCTAGAATTCAATTTGGTCAAGAGATGTCAAGAGGCAGCACATAGCTGTTTAATAGCTGCTCCACGCGGCCCTTCGGAAGACGGGCCTGACACGCTGACATGTTCAGGTCCCATGCTAGATCCTGTCGTCCGGTAGGACCTGACGAAAAATCTCATGAGGGTTGAACGCCACCTCCCAACGCTACCCTCTCATCGCTGCGAACTCATCTCTTCGTGCCAAAAACAAAGGGTTTGATTCAGATCCGTGGGCGAACGGGGCACCGCATCGAACGGTCCGTGCTTCTACCGCGGTGTACCGCGGTTCGGACCAGTCGCCATGTCTCCGTTCAAGCGACGTGAGATCCCATGATGGTCCCGGAGGAGGAACGGATCCGGATGGGAATGGAGAAGGCTGGAGAGATGGAGTGAACTTCTGGGAAGGGTGATCTTTGTAGCTTCAACCTCCGCAATGCTACTTAGGGTCATTGAAGAAAGCTCTGCCAAACCAGGAAGCACAGTTGGAACTTTGAACTATGCATCCAACTTCAGAAATCCTATGAAATCCTCCATGTTACACTTGGACACCTGAAACTGCCACTGTTTTCAGAGTTCAGGAGGCCAGTTCCGCACGGTTTGCGCCGGAGACCATCGGAAAGGCGAGGGGCATGGAGCGTGGTGTCAGCGGTTTCTCAAACGGAAGACGGGCCGGAGGCCGGGAGGAATCTGGAGGACCGACTCAAATGGAAGACGCTGCTGAGTCGCAGATCTTTCCGCAGCTTTCCGAGGGTTTGGGATCACGCCACCGGGTTGATCACGCCACGGGGTTCCCAAAGATGCCTGGGTGATGCACCAGGAATCGGTTTGAGCCCAACGGTTTGGGGCAGGCCCATCAGCTGCACCCCCCAGCGGACTACGAATGGCGGTGAAACCAGGTATATGAATGTATATGAATCATGCGTTTCATGATTTGACCGCGCCGGATTCGATCTTCGGCTCAGTTTTAAGAGGTCATGGTCCATCCTGGCGTTTCGGTGACTGAGCTCCTTCCGGTGCCTACCGTGGAAGACTCGGAGCTTTTGAAGCTCTTGCGGAGCGCCGGCTTGGAGGAATGGTACTCCAAATTTCTCTCTCTCGGCTGTGTGACCATTGAAGATCTTCGCCACATGGATGAGCGTCGCATGGATGAAATGGGGCTACGTGCTGGGCACCGCATCCGTTTGGATGGTGTCTTGCCCACGCCGAAGACGACACCGCGACTGGCAGCGCAAGAGCTTGAGTCCCCACAGCCTCCACTGTGCCAAGAGGAGAACTGCAAGCAGATGGCCAAATTGACATGTGGTGAATGTAAAGGGCTATTGTGCTCTACCCATGCAAAGAGGATCCAACAGAGACACAAGGACGGAGGGACCACCATCATAAGAGAGATTCCTAGTTGTCCCGCATGCTACACCAGAAGGAAGAAGACGGATCAATGCAATACTATGTTTCAATGTGCTGCAGGTGTTTGTGTTGTCGTCCTTGGAGCTGGCATCACAGTGAGCTTTGCATATCTAATGAGGGTGGCTTCTGCTTAGCGGCTTAGTGCACATGTTCACCAGAGGCGGGACCCCTGGGATTACAGCGAGCTTTGCAGCTTTGCGTACAGAATGAGGGCCGCTTTGACCTATCACCAAGCAAGTATTTAGGTGGCTTTAGATTTAGGTGACTTAATGGTGAGGTTGAAAACTGTTGATCAGCAACCCTTTTATGTGTTGTGATTCTGTAAGCAGCAACGGCCCTCATGAACATGACGTCAGCTGTTAATTTTTGCACATTTGTACAGAGGTGGAGTTGATTTGAAAGAGTCAGTCCCCGTCAATTAAGATGGCGCGTGGCTCCCCGGACTTCATGTACAGAATTTGCACAAGTGCTTTGCTAGGATGCACTCGAAGGATAACTCTTTGCCGCGGGTCTTCGTGTCAAAATGCTGCAGGCACCATCGGGTCGACACCAAACGGAGGTTCACAGCCTGTCGAAGCAGCTATTGAGTCAGTCATTCCAGAATTATGTCAACTCTGACCTTGGGTCGCTGTGCCAATGTCGTCTCCTTTAGGTCGCTGGGGCCCTGAAGGGAAGGATGGTCGTCCACTCCTGTTGGCTTCAACGGTGGTTTAAAACGGAGAGGCGTCAGATGTGTCAAACGACCGGCGAGGCGTCACATGATTTCTCGTCGTTTTCAATGGGTGTGGGTTGAAGGTACCGGTTGAGCGCTCAAAGGAAACACCAGGTAAACAGTAAAACAGGCGAAACTCCCGGTGAGACCGGGTTCCGGGGGTTCCAGTAAACAGATGTTCCGAACGACCGCTTCCGTAAGCCACAGGAAGTCCCACTTTCCGAGGCCTCCGATGAACCGCTTCCTTTGCTGGAAAGAGCCTTGGGCTGCAACTTCGGGTCCCTGCCTTGAGTTCCCGAATCTGGCGGCATCTCTGACGTGGCTTCGGTGTGATTGACAAAACCCCCACAGAGAGGAGGGAAGAGCACATCCAAGTGATTGAGGGAAATCCAAGTGATGGATCGTCGATGTGATGGTAGTTCTGACACTCCTACATCAGGGGGTCCCTGACGCCCGGCATCCAGGTCCCTAGGACCTGCCGTGGTTAACCAAAAAAACATGCTGTTGGTGTGGCAGAATGGGGTGCATTTGGTGGTCTGGACATGTCTAGAGAGTCTAGACGATGCTGGCATGAAGGTCTAGTATAGTTTGCTATTATAAAGGAGCAAGGACGCTACTACTAGGGTCTCCTGGCTGTACTACTCTGAACAAGAAACTACTAGGTGATCCTTTTTTTAACCCTTGAACCCTCTCTGGGGGGGCAGCGATCCAAATCAGAGAACTCCGGTTGGGTGTGTTGAACGTCCTGCCGCTGCAGTCGTGCTGCCAAATATTTATAGACACGCATCTATATATATATATAGAGAGAGAGAGACAGCGATCCAAATCAATTCATGTAAATCGGAATCATATACTGTAGATAATATCACATAATTACTATTTTTTTTATTACATACTTCTCGTCACCTGATTACCCGCTCATTGAGAGGGTTACTCTTGCAGCGCACCTCAGCAGGACGGGTGGACCATCACTCGAACTCCAAGTCGACCTCGAAACTCTCGAAGCTTGGAAGGAGACGAAATAACTTTGTATAACCTTTACCCAGTGGATCCCCGTTACCACTATAGAAGGAAGATGAAGGAACCATTTAGTCTTTGAAGCCACTGGTTACCTACTATGGCAACTGGATCCACTGGGTTACTACAGTAATTGTATGTATTGTTGTTTGTTGTTTTTTTGGAACCACTGACCACTGGTGACAGATTTAGTCGCAACATGTGGTAAGCTGGATCCACTTTGGGAAGTTCCACCCTTGCAAAGGTCGGCCAACAGTGGATATTGAACAAGACGACAGGAGTGAAGACCACAGGGAATGCTCAAAGTTTTTTTTTTTTTTGGCCTTCAGGTGGGTAGAATCTTTGTGTTTTTGTGTTCCCTTGCAACAGGTGTGGTATTTTTTGGGGAGAATTGTTGAGTCTTGCAACATCACCGTAGGTCTTGTATGGTTTTGTTGGACATTGAGAGGTTGGCTGCAAGGAAGAACAGTTTATTTGCACATTACCCAGAAGTTTGCAGTTGGGAACGCCACTCCAGCCTGAAGCCCTTGGTCTTGCATGTCTTGCATAGCTTTGAAATAGAATTAGAACTGGTTCAACTTGCTTGCGGAGTCTAAGGGGGGTCAAGGTCTAGCAGTTGCTACTGGCCAGTACTGCATGACAATGTTCAATTAGCTCCAGGGCCCAACTGTCCCCCATGAGACTGCAAGGGCAACAAGACATGCCAAAGCTCAAACGCACCAACCGACAGTGGCCCGTACGGCGACGACGTTTGCGGCCCGATATACGGAGCAGCAGGGCGAAACAAACGGAGCAGCACCGGCCAAAGCTTCAAGCTCAGCAGCTCCATGGGTCCTTTTTTACCTTTAAGAACGTCTTGTCAAAAAGCCTGCACAGATGATCATGGCTTGAACACCATGACGGAGACGAGAACGGAAGAACTATATGCGTTCGATCCCGCCGCTGCCGCTGCACTGTCCTTTTTGGTCACAGATTCAACCATGTTGTGGCGGGTCGTGGAGGCATCGTCGGGATTCTATACACATTCGGGTTCCAAGCGCCATTGTGTTCTATAATTTTACTCAACACCTCCATTGCTTAACTAATAGGTTTTCAGACCTGCGAAACTAGCTCAACGGCTTTCTTTTCATTGTTTTTTTCAAGGTTAGGGTATAAATATGGTATAAGTAATCAGCTTCTATCGCACGAGTCGCGGCCGGGATGCCTGAGGATCCCTGAGACCACCACGAGCTTCGAGGCCGGACCGGACTCCGTTGGCTGCAGACGAGACGGGTGACGCTGGGGGCCGACCCAAAGCCTGCCTGTGACTGCCTGTGCCTTTTGGTCAGGTCCTGTTGCGCCTTTTGGTCAGATGCCGTGCCGACCAGGGCGACCACCAAGTATAGTAGTTCAGTCGTAGATCCCTGGAAGTTCAGTCGACCATTTTGAACACGCTTTGACTAGGTGATCCGAGTGCAGCAATTTCCTTTGCGTGGGTGGTGATGGTGCCACGAAGAGCCTGAACGGACTTCCGGGCGCCCGATCCGGCCTTCGGAACAGGGCGAAATCGGTGTAGATCCGAAGATTGAAAGTGCTATCTAGAACCAGGTACCAGGACCCTCCTGTCGGGGTGCCCAGTCTGGAAGCCTAGGCCGGTAGTGTGGGGTAGTCCAGCCAGGACACCCCGACAGGAGGGTATATATATGTATTTTTTAATGATTGCCACATGTGGAGAGTACATTTCCTCACCTGCGTTCCTTCGATGGTGTTGTTTTTCTGGAGGGGATAAAAGGGATGATTTCATGTCTATTGAGGACTTGCTTCTGTGGAGTTTTACTGCTTCATTTGTTCCCATTGCCCGCTTGCCGACGAGGCAAAGTTCGTGATGTCCTGGATTTTCGAGATGGGATGCGGCTTTGTGATCATCCTGAGCAGCTTCACCGAATGGAAATCGATCGGCTGTGTTGATCCTTGTTGATTCAATCAAACGGTTTCACTTGAACACATGTGCAAACACACTAGAGACGGGTGAAGCCATGCACTCGAGGCTGTGATTTGTGCTAGGTTTTTCGAAGCAACACCTATTAATGCCGCCCTATGGACCAATCATTATGCTTTGTTTGCCTGTGGACACATCCACAGCTTCAATTCGGCCTCGAACAGCCTCATCGAGGTGTTTTAACTGTCGCCTGGGACGTGGATGGCTTAGAGGAACCCTTCTTCCTTCAGCGACTTGGATGAAACATGACACAAAGAATCCCAAACACCTCACCAAACATGGAAGGATCAAAATGAGAGATGTGATGTTCTTTTGGACGAAAAGGACCTTTTTCATTCATGCCTGGCATCCGAAGCCCCCTTTCGGTAACGACGAGGAGCCCCCTTTCACGATCTCCGATGAATCGCTTAAGAACATCTTACAGTGGTTTCAGAGCAGATGGCACAGACCCGGGGGTCCATATAAACCACGTCTTGGGGTTTGCACCATCTACTCTCACTGCACCAAAACAACTGAAGACTTCATTTGCCACCGCGAAAGTCATGCTGAAGGCTCCGTAGGCACCTGCGTTTCCATTGCTATGCTGCTACCAAAAATACGTGCGTATAGCTATAGAGACCTCAAGAAACAACCACGGCTCGACCCGGCACGTGTGTCACCGCTTCATGAGGTTCATGGAAAGCGCTGTCACAAGCTTCTTCCTGATGGAGTGGCTTGTACGCTTCAAGGCCCTCGACGCACCGCCGTCCCGGGGACCGCTGGCTCGAACGGCTGGCGACCGCTGGGCTCGACCGCTGGGCTCGGTAGAGCTTTTAAACAGCGTTTGGAAATAGGCTTTGCCAGGTCACTAGGTGTTCGTTTGCTGGATTTGCTTGATTTGAAGTGGGTGTGCATATTAAACAGGAGGCACCCAACTACCAATGAACCAATGGGCTTTGGACTATCTTCTTCCTTCTTCCAGGGGGTCTTTGGGAGCAAAGCCCAGCAACTCGAGCTCTTGCAGCAGCTGTCATACAAGAGAAGCATGCGTGCATAGACATGTGGCGTCCATGTGGCATGCTCCTCTCCAAAGCAACATACAGCAACCCATCAAGAGAAGGGGCGACACATGCTATCGCTGGTACGGCAATCCATGAATCGCTGGGAGTTCCATGTTAGGGTGGTCATTGCATGCTGGGGCCCTAAGAACGATGTGCCCAGATGTGCCCAGCATGCAGTCAGAGGCCGCTCCAAGGATGGAGCAAACGCGCGCCCACAGGTGTTGGGCTTGAACTGGCTGATGGATCCCATGGTCATGTTCGATACTTTTATTGACGCTTGCCAGGAGTGGTTTCGCGGAGTCCAAGTCCATTCCCTAATTCTCAAAGAATTAGTCCATTCCCTGGCAAAAAAAGAAATCTGGAATTCAAAGATCCACTGGGTGTTGGTCCAATTGATCCTTTGACCATGGGATGGCACCCGCTTTCCGGGCCCTGAGCTCGAGCTTTCCAGGGTCCTAGACTCCTAGACCGGAAGTCCCACAGGAAGATTCAGTTGCTTCAGCCAGCGCATCATGTGTCCAACGCTCCTCTTTCTGTATTTTGTGGAGAATCACCACGTGTTCCTTCAGGATGCAGGATGCAGCTGGTCAACCCGCCAGAAAAGGTCAAAGGTCAGATGTGTACGGGAATTGTAAGCAAGAGACTGACAGTGCTTTTGAGGTATATTCGATTATTGACTACCGTTGGGTTCGTTGCAGTGGGTGGCCCTCCCAAAAAGAGCCTGGAACGTTGTAAAAGACTCCTGAGGACCATTTTCCTAACCACCTTTGGCAGTTGTGTATATAAGTATATATATATGAGGCAACCTCAAAATTATCATCAACCACTTTAGTAAGGGACGTTTCATCTCTGTGTTGCTTTCGTGATTTTCCTTGAAAAACGATAGGGGACTGACAAAAAAACGATACCCCTATGTATACATACTTGCAAAATCCAAAACCATGGAAAACGATAGGGGACTGACAAAAGTGAAACGAAAACACTCCAAGCATATATTTTTGACGCTAACTCATATAGTTTTTCTCCACCATTTCCTAGCCACTTGTTCTCCTGCCCTAACTGTTGGCTGTGGTAGTGTGTCCTGTTCTTGGCCAGAGTAAACGGCTGGAATCTTCAAGGTGCAGTCCACTTGGTGGCTGACAAATGCAGTCTTGGTGAGAGCAGGCCTCACTTCAAAACTCTTCAAGTTTGCTCATGGCTTTCGTCGTGTTGGCCTCACTGCTTTCTGATCTTTGCTCACATTGATGACCAGCCAGACCACTGGACCCCGAGCCGGGGAGTAGAGACAGAAAAAGGAGGCACAGTGGATCGGTCACGATATGATACCCAGGGATCTTCCACGGTGGTCCCCACTTGGCCGGTGTACTTGTAGATTGCATGGTACGGGTAGAAGCAGAAACACGTCAGATGTTCAACTGACTTGCTATTTGCTTTGGCAGCATGATTTCCGTTGATTCTCCAGCAATTTCGATAATCCCCACATGTAGTCCACCCATCCCACAGGGGATCAGCACCGTCAGCATGGGCCACCGGCACCCAGGTTTGGGTTCCGGGCGTCGTCGCAGCTCCTCAGACTCATCACCGCCGGACGAGAATGGCGCGCGGACGAGAATCCGGATTGGTGTTCGGAAGGAGCCCTGCAGGGATTTTTCACCAAAAGAGGTGGCATCGTGACATGATATGTTTGCAGGGCCTTTGCAGAGCAGCTACGTTGACCTTCAAGGCTTCAAGGTTTGATTTGAAAGATCCCGGTGCCTGAGATAGTCGTTTCACAGCTTCGATGGCGCAAACACCTAGATGTAAAAAACAATATGGAGGTCCATGTAAACCACCAAATTTGGGGATTGTGATCATGTGCTCTGAAACCACAGCAAAATTATTGTGCAATCCTGCTTGCAAGAACAGCTATATAGAATATATTTTGATATATATTTATTATTTTCTCTGATGGATAGGTGGCACAGCAGACCAAGGCTTTACTCGATCCAGGCCTCAAAAACGATTTCACAAGCAAACATTTGGGGCGGTTGTTCATCAAGAGTGGAGGCAGTTACAATATTGTAGGTTGGAGGCCATCGCTCCTTGGTTGGAGTATGATTGGAGTCTGCGGTTTATTGTTCCTCCAACGTCGCGATGTGTCGGCCGAGGTTTGGGCCTTCCAGCCACTGGTCCAACATGATGCCACCGATTTCCTCAAGGTCTTACGCACGGTGCGCCACTGGGCTGAACCACGTTTTAGGACGGACAGGCCATGTGTGGGAAGAGGGCCATGAGAAGCGCCTCGCTGGGGCCGCTTTCTGCTTGGCCAGAAGTTTACAGCTTGCCGGACTGGGCAGGGCTTGCAATATAGAGTTAGAGTTTTGAGCTAACAACCCAGACACTCCATGCCATAGGACTGCCGCCCCATTGACCCCCCCAACACCACCCCTGGCCTGATGGGCATATATTCCATACGTGGAGTGTTTGGGTTATCTAGTTTGTTGAGCATCATATGTATATCCTATCCACGCCATGCCGTTCTTCGACGACGTGGCCTGTGTGAAGACCTGAGATGGCGCTCGAGCACCGTCGTGAAGATCAGAGATGTTTCACCTTCCGAGCTCGGAAGTGACCAGGGATGAAGTGCGCAGAACATTAGAAGGGACATGTCCCCGGTGTTATGTGCATATGCCCCCCGCACCCCATAGAAGGATCACTTTCATCTAGTTTTTCATCTCTATACACTCCCTGAAACAATCCTGGAAGTGGAAAATTGTTCCTGGATGACCATTTTCCCAATAATGTGAACCCCAGATTAAAAACCCCTCTTCCCCCCCATGTGGAAGGTCAAGAAGGTCTGAGGTACCATTCATGAGGTCCACTCCCCTGAAATCCCCTGCATTTTTCTTCTAAGAATGGGGTGGGAGTAGTAGCAGGAGTAGTAGTCGTCGTCGTCGTCGTCGTCGTACTGGTAGTGGTCGTCGTGGTTGTAGTCGTTGTCGTCGTTGTGGTGGTGGTGGTGATGGTGGCAGTTTCAGTGGCAGTAGTAAGGGCAGTGGTAGTGGCAGTGGCAGTCGTAGCAGTAGCAGGAGCCGCCGCAGCAGCAGCAGGAGGAGGAGGAGTAGGAGTAGGAGTACAATAGGAGTAGGAGTAGGAGTAGGAGCAGGAGCAGCAGGAGCAGGAGCAGGAGCAGTAGGAGTAGGAGAAGGAGCAGGAGTAGCAGTAGCAGTAGTAGTAGTAGTAGTTGTTGTAGTAGTAGTAGTAATAGAAGTAGAGTAGTATAGTAGAGTAGTAGTGGCAATGGTGGTGGTACTAGTAGTATTATTAGGAGTAAGGGGCAGCAACAAGATTAGGAGTAGTAGCAGCAGCAGCAGTATTAATATATATAGTAGTCGCCGTCGTCGCCGTCAAATTGACCTGGTTGTGGGGCTCGGATTAACTGCACAGGGGAGGTTTATGAATCCTAACTTTGTATTACCAAACAGGCAGATGTCCACTTCCATGATCATTTGAGGGAGTGTAGCCATGACTTCGAGCCAACTTGGAGTGAATGAAGGAAATGGAGAAAACAACTGTTGGCTCACGACTGCATTGCCCAAAGTTGAGAAGAATTGATCCTTGCTTTGAATCAAGGCATGATGCGCTTGCTACGCATTGTGTGGCTTGGCCATTGGTGTGCCGTGCTGTTTGTTGTGCAAGTCTTCTCATTTAGCATCCCATTGTCCAACGCCCTGGCCCCAGTTCGGAAGTCCTCCGGTTTGGGGCGAACGTAGCCCAGAACCTAGTGATTGATTGACCACCTGGTTCTTTACCCGAGATAAATCCGGGCGCAGATCCCAGAGACTGAGCCACATGCGCGAATCGAGCAGAAAGTGAGGCATGACTGCATGACGTGTTTTTGACATCACGTGTCATGATGGTTGGCGTGTGAATGGACAAATCCTGACTAATTCATATACTGTAATAGTCCAGGTACTATTGTCCAAGTGAGGTATTGTTGCTAAAGTAGCGCTTTTGGAATAGAAAGCCAGCTCAGAAATTGATCCCCAAATTGAGAACAGAACGGCTTCCAAGGCAAGTGATTGAAGAAACAGTCAAGAGGTCAAGATGGACCAAAATTACAGACAAAGGGACTTACCCAAGGTGTTCAGAAAGTCATTCGGCCCACATGGTTGATTGTCGTTGAAAACCAAGGATTCCCTCGTCCACAACCGAACCTTGTTCTAGAACCAAACATTTGTGCCCCTGCCTGTGCAGTGCCTCAAGAATGTGTTTTGTGACTACACCAGCCTGGCAGGCATCGTTTTTCCAAGTTCCAAGGTTTTTCTTCAAGCACTTCAAGGCTTTCCAAGACATCTTCCAGCTGGTCAGAGGTCTCCTGAGCCACTCGGGGTATATAAAGACTGGCGCTGGCACACCCAGTCATGGCAAAGAGGATGCAAATGACCTCGTGGGCAGACATGTTTTGTAGTCTGCAGTTGAACAATTGGCGTGTTGCATCGGTTCCACAAAATGGCCCTCTAGAAGCTAAGAGAGAGAGAGAGAGAGAGAGACACAGAGGGAGAGGGAAGCCACAGCACGAGACTTCCTCCCAGAAAACTCTTTGTATTACACTTTATATTACACTTCATTCCTCTTTATATTACCTCCATTTCCTTTGCCAAAAAAACTGTACATGACCCCTAGTTTTGGCTTTTCACCATAGTTATCCCTTATAGATAATACTAGCAGATTGCACGAACTGAGGCTGCACTCCCAGCTCGCCCAAGAGGACATGAGTTGTAACATGTGGTCCTGCCACACGTGCGATGTGCTGTCAGCACACACAGCAGAGCTACACCAATGGAGTCCTAAAATATCAAAATATCATGTCATATATTATTGCTTCTTGGAGATTCTTTTGGTGCGCCCTCGTGGGGCTGTCCCTTTTGAGGTCACAAATCGTACTGTAAGTCATGGAGTGTGTCAGTGTTGCATTGAGCAAGAATAGAGAATGGTTGTGTTTAGAGTAATTAGGGCTTGGGGGGGCTTGCCAGCGAGCCCCACTGCAAAAGACACCTTGCCAATAAGGCCTAGCACCGAACCCTTGTGAAAGAACGCATGTTTGATCATGACCTTGCGATGAGAAAAAGATATGCTATAAAACCCGACTTCGCCTGTCGGCTACGTGGACGACATGGCCTCCGTTCAGCACATGTGTCCGTCCAGAAGTTCGTGGATGGCCTTGAGCTGAGGCAGTGGCGGGACCTTGCTCTCTGCTCTAGGGCTGATTGCCCTTTGGTCCGCTTCATTCACCGTCGGTTAGGAGTTCTTAGCACATTTTTCCCAGGGTCCCAAGCAGCGACTGATTGGATGGTACGGCATTCCTCCATCAGTACTGGTGACCGCTGATTTCCAAAAGCCTTTACAATCCTCAAATGGGGCGGGTTTCCCTGAGTCTTCAAATGATCGACATCAGGTAAATTAAATACTGGTAGGGGATTTGCGCACTGTGAACTGGGTGGGGGGATAGCCAAACATGTCAGGAGAAACCCTCCACAAACTGGGTGAAGGACCTCAGACGCATACGATATTGTGATTCAGCCAGGGAGGTATTGGTTAAGCGATAGTTGCATTTTGGCTTTCGTTTCCAATCCACACTCAGATCGAGATATGACACAGGTAGCGTGCATTGAGTGTTTATTTCAACGTTTTAGTGAAACTTCGGCCCTTTTGAGAGGGTCCCTGACATTCCCTGCGTAGTAACAAGGAGAAGCTAGACTTGAAAACCTCCCTGTCGCAGATTGATATATCAATTATAAATCACTATTCTATATAATATACTATTCTATTCTCCAAAACCCTGTGCATCCCTACAAGTACTCATCAGCTCCTTCCAAGAGGCCACCAATAGACACCGCTATACTTCTAGGTGTCCTTTGAGCACCTCTTGCACACCCCTAGGTATGCTGCATTTTCCTCAAAGCCAGACGTCACCGTCACATCTCCAAAATTCCTCAGGCCTTTACGCTGTACGTCTTCGCCATCATCGCCATTGACCTGATCGGTCATCAGGATTTTACAGGTCATGGTGGCCCGAAACGACCCTTCTCCGACCCGAACAGGAGATACAGGAGGCACCGCCCCCCCGCTGCCCCCCCCCCCAACACCCGACGACCTCCAGTGATTCTCGGTGCAGGCTGAAGGTCGTACATCGAGTCCCGTTATGAAAGGTTTGGTGTTGTGGGTGGGGGCAGGCATGTTGGTGGTCCAACGGACGGTTCTCCGACCGCCGTCGGACCAATCCAGCTGTGCCAATCCAGCACACAAGCTGGACACGCATTGGCAATTCCAAGCGGTAAGGAATTCGGAACTTGTACACTCCCACTCACTAACATGGACGTGGAGAAAAAAAAAATCCACTTCCATGTTGGTGGTTCAATATGTGGGAGGACGAGGGTTATAACAGCCTGATGGTTCATGGATGGAACCCATGCGTTGTTTTGAGCCAAGCTTGCGGCATTTCCGCTCAACTGGTCACTTCAGGATGTCTTCCCTACATGTATGGAACATCTATGTAGACCCTCAAACAGATGGAAAAGTAGATCAACTAAAAATCTGTTGGACACCGTTTCTATCTATTTGAGGACCATGCAGACACCATGCATTGACCGCAGAAAACATCTGAAGGCGACACCCCGTAGACGGGCAAATGTTCGACATGGATTGTTTGGGCGAACCGTGAGGCGAACGAATCTGGACACCGTTGGGTTGCGCGATCCCAACCGCCGGCATGAATCGTTGGAGCCGTCCGTTGAACGGCGCTGTTCCGCTTTGGGAGGTGCCTCGGAGGACGTGTTGGAGGCACAAGCAGGTTTCCAAGAGATTTTTCCCACCATGCTGACGCTCATCCGGCCACCTGGCAGAAAAAAGAAGCCCGGGCAGCCCTTGTTTGGGGAGACGCTGGAGGCTGGTGTTGCTTGGAGGTGTTGCTTGGACGTTTGCGCATGGACTCATTGCAAGCATCATGCTAAAATATGCATTTGAGATCTGTATTTAGTGATTCATGATGATCAACATGACACTCCCATCCATATTGATCCCAGGATCTCATCCGATCCATGCTGCCAGCACCTTTGGCCTCATGAAACCCACAACCAGGTTCCCTTCGTGCCGGCTTCCCTTCGGTTCTGGACGCGAGTCATCACTCGCGTCGACAAGACGCGACGAGCCGAGGTTTATGCACGCAGATGACTCGCAGCCCATCCTGGATCTTCTGACCAAGTCACTGGGCTTGAGGATGAGGGGCTGCAGATGGAAGTCTTCACCCCTGCAGATTACAAGACTAAATCTGAAGGAGTGGTTTTGAGAGAGGCTTGAGGTTGGTGGATTTAGAGCGTTTTGACTCAGTCTTGACTCTCCAGATGACGTGTCCTGGCATGCACGGTGTATGCTCATGCATTTTCACCCGGATCAGCGACACCTGTCACAACGGTAGACACAAGGACTCAAGAATGGCTCAAGGGGTCTCAAGGGGCTTAGCTGGCTTGGCTTGTGGTTTGTTTTGGTTGGTAAGGCGAAGTCCTTTTTCATGCAACTGCCATCCATTGGAAATAGAATTGAAATATATACATCATAACCACGTCACCAGTGGGGAGCATGATTTCTTCAGAGAGAAGGAGAGACTGAACAATCCCAAACGAACGCTGTGTTCGCAGATGTCACCTAGGAAGTTGCCATGGATTTGGGTTTTCACATGGCTCTTCACTGCTATGACGCTTGGTTGGCACGGGCAGGTGGGTGAGGACAGTGACGACATCAGGATATCAGGAGATCATGAGGTCCCAAAGTCCATAAAGTCCATAAAAACATCATGGTGCCACCATCAAGGAACTTGCTTGCTTGCTTGCTAGAATGCCCTGGAAATCAATTGGGAGCCAGCCATCAGGTGGGAACTGCTTCCATCACCCCCCTTTTGTACCAACCGGCCCAGCCACGGGCCGCTCACCTCCAAGATCTGCCTTTGTGTTTCTGAATTTGGTGACGGCGATCATCGTGCAGCAGGCGCCGGGCCCGCTCTTACTTCGCCGGGCTCGCGGGCTCGGGGAGACTGACTGAGGCACCAGGCCCAGGTGTGGCCCAGGCGGATCCGGAGCGGTGGAGCAGCATGGTCCGTCCCACCTCCCGGGTTCGCCATCGCCGCCCACAGGGTTCGGCTAGTCTATACACCGGAATCCGTGGTGTGGAGTGCAATGTCAAGAATAAGATGGCACTCCCATATCCCAAAACATCCCAAAACCATAAGTCTAAGGTGCTCACGCAGGCGATCAAGACATATCAAGGTGACTAATCCAAGGTTCGCAGCAGGATGCGATGGGTGCAGGACGTATTTTCCAGGTGTTGCCCTCCCTCCAACAGTCATGAAAGCAGACCATGTACCCTCATTGACGAAACGGTCTTCCAGGGGCCTATGTTCCACTTCCATAGTTGTTTCGGGGAGAGTTAAAGATTTGTGATTGGCAGACAGAATCGCTTCGCTATGTGTTCGACAGGACAGACTGAAACAGCTTTTGAGGACTGTGCTCAGTCTTTTCAACGGTTCACCCAACAGCACTTCAGATTCACCCATCCGTCCGGAACGTACCGCATGTTCCGCCCATGTCATATGTCGCCCAAAAAAGATGTCCGCTTTTCAGAAGGCTTAGTGATGCTCCCCAATCTTTGCAGAGGTCGCAGGCCCGGTACCGCCATGCAGCACCTGGAGAATCGTTGCCAGCCGCCGAAGACCCGAAAGGCCTTGGAGATGGCCAGTGGTGACGAAAGTGAGCGCGTACAACAACTGCAACGGCAGCGGGAGAGGGACATGCAGCTCGGCCCGGTTGGCTGGGTGTTGCCTTGGCCTGCGGAAAAGGGGTTTGACATGTTTGTGATTGTGGTGGTGATCTCCAACAAAGAAAAGACAAGATAAGTGACAAGATTGTACTACAGCATGTTATATAATGTTGTATAAATACACATAATATGTGTTCAAATCATACAGTATATAAAGAGAACGTGCCTGCCCGACATCGAAGAAAAGGGTGCACCAAAAGCTCTCAGCCTGAAAGAATCATCAATGGGCATGTTCCAGGTTGGAACCAGCCAAATCTGGAGGTTTGGTGTCCCTGTAATTCATGCAGACTCTTCATTCATAGCCCCCCCGGTAGCATGGCTTTACATCTCCATATGGGTGATTAATCTACATGAAGTTGTTGCAAGCAAATCTTCAAGAAAGATGTTGTGCAAGCAAATCTTCCAAATCAAGACCTGGTTCCACCATGTTCCACCATGTTCCACCCAACTGCACGACCAGACCCGCCTTAGACTGTGCGCGATCTATGCAGCTCCCGACGACCAGACGGCCTGCCCGTCCCCACGGTTCCGAGGCAAGACCTGGAAGAGACCTTCAGGAGATTGGATGAGGATGCCAGCGGACAGGTGTGACGACCTGCCACGTTCAGCCGCTCTTCGAATCAACGTGAACGTGATTCGCCGGTGTGTGAAAAAAAACAGTCCAGTCATTCCCAGTGAAAAGCCCGGGCTAGCGATGGGTTGAATGTCCCTCAAGTTGCTTGACAATGACCAAAGGGGGGCCAAGGTTTCATTCCAGTCACCCCCGGTGCCAACCGAAGATCACCGGAGACCATGTTCCCATCGATTTGCTTCTTGCTGAGTTTTGACGGGAAGATCATTGAGTTGTTGCGGTATTGAGGGTATGTTGATTTCACGAGAAGTAAGAAAGGTCAACACTGTAGGCTATCAACAGTGCTATCATCAGCATATAGAAACATGACACCCACACAAAAACCCGGGATAGGCAGACCTCCCAGGTAGTCACGTAGTCAACCAGGGGTGGTCAACCAGGGTATCCCGGGTGTTGACCCGCTGCAATATTTTTGTTTTTAATATTAACCGCTCAGCTCAGAGACGAGTCAACTGTGTTGATGGCCCTTGATGGCCATTCATCTAGGATAGAAAAAGAAACCAAAGGAGGTCAGCTTGCTAGAACTGATACTAGTCACTATGGTCAAAGAATGATGCTGCTGGCTACTGGTTGGTCGGGGAGTCTTGGTAACCCCAGCCATAGGAAACCAGAAGAGAAGAAAGTTTCATGTGCAGTAACAAGTGCGTAGATGAGACAGGTGAACCATAGTGAGCCACTCGGATGCTGATGGTTCAAGATAGTCAAAGATGCTTCCCCCCCATGTCTTGTGGACGAACTTGCCAGGTGAGTTTGGAAGAGTTTATGCAGGCCATGCTTCGAGTTGATGCGCAGACTCTTGCTGCTTTGGTGTTTGATGGGAGGAGTTTCACAAAGGTACCCTTTGTTCAGCAGCCGTAACCCCCGCTCCAAGCGCTTCGACCACAAGGTTCCGCGCCATGTTGGGGGCCCAGTGACTCTAACCACTGGTCATTTCTAGTAGACATCTGAGAGAATGTAGTAGGATGACAACCCCTGGATCCACATATATCATGCTTGGGTCTGTCCCATTACTGTACCTGTTACCTGTAACAGTCAGTAAACAAGCAAATCACTATTTGTTGAACAAGGCCTTTACTAACCATAATCATCTCCCGTTACAGGTATTAGGAGAGACCCAATATAATGCCTTGAACAGTGGGAAGGTTCATGCTCTAGTGAGCTACATCGAATCCATGTTGATCGAGCAATTGACCTGGCTCAGACCAAGATGTGTGGCTCAAAGAATTGACATGTGCGTGGGCAAGAGGCGATTACAAGGGATGCGCAAAAAGACAGCAACCTGTTTAGGAGGAGTGCTTGGTGTTTGTTCTCTACAGTGTTACTAGGCTTTTGCAAAGCGTGCAAAAACCGTCTCGGCAAAAAACAATGTTAAAATGCTTGGTTGCGCGGGTTCCAAATTATTATCTTTCCACCGAGAAAGGGGCGCGTTTGTCACCGAGTCACCTGCGAATTCTCGTCGTTTGATATGAACTCGCCGGTGAACATGCATGGAAAATGATTGTTTGTTGGTAGGTTCAAGGGCCAACATCCCCGGAGGCCTTCAAAATCAAGGAGATCCGCGCAAAGATGACGCTGTTGAACCTCAAGGCTGGCGTATGTCAAATAGGTACTGTAAGAACGTTAGTTTGTGTTGATTAATAGATTAATATGACCAAAAGCAGCTAGCTTGATTGCACAGCAACTCTAATGATTTTCTTGAAGGTAATTATCTGAAGTGAGCGTCAAGACTTATACGGTAGACTTGATAGATTTTGCATGATGGGTCGCTATTTTTGGAACTTCAGATACATTTAATTATATAATCTAACTCGATAACATGATATCGCAGCAGTATTGTCGAGTCCTACTTGCACCTGAAAGCAGATGTCGATTTGATTACCTGGTTATTCTGCTCACCGGCCCTCCAAAAGTGTCAAACACCTTTTGCACGGACTGTTCTTGGTGGGGTAGATGCAGCATTCAACACCAGGAACGCCCTAGCAGATAGCAGCCCGCTTCGCAAATTCACCACAAGAGTAGGAGCCACTGATAATATGCCCGGTGCTTGTAGTTCTCCAGTAATTATTGTAAATAGAATGTGGGACAATCCAACCTACCGAGGTCATGCGTGTCAGATGCATGCTCGCACTCTTCTTGGGTCCTGACCTCTGTGCTGCCCATGCCTCGTGACCCACCCTCCTTCCCTGACCCAACCAGGAGCAAGAGATGGTGGACCTGTTCCGCCATCTCGACACGGCGGGTGAAGGGGAGCGCCTTGGGAGCACCGGTCCGTCGGAGCGAGCCCGGCGAGGCTGAGGCTGAGCGGTCGTGGAACAAAACCAACGGACATCTCCTGGGGGGAAGATGGAGACCAACCACCTGGAAGTCTACTCCATATGGATTGTTGTGGAGACCATATCCAACGTTGCCAAGCTTTGTGATTCGATTTGGCCCACACGCAGTTGCGAAGAACCTTTGGTAAGTAGAGGCCCTACCTCGACAGGAAGAGTATTGCTTTTCCTACCTACAGTTCAGGGAGAAGAAGCTATTTCGAATTTCGGATGGCAATCCCAATCTCATGTTCACATTGTGTGTGTATATTTTGATTAGGCTTGGGCAGCTATTCGGGACTATATCCCCCTTTGGGCATTATTGACAGCTTTCTTGACAAATAGTCACAAATCCTCAAGACGAGTTTGCACCACCTGCAAGGCTGTTTTTGTGTGCCAGCCATTTGCTTTGCAGACTGATTTTTTGTTTATTTTTGGGAGCCCTCTTTGGGTGGAATCCTGACCTTGGCACCATGCCCACAGACCATGGGCAGGTTGTCATTGGATGAGTTCACCTCCGGCATGAGCCACTTGGCGCGTCAACCGGGTTTGCTTCAGACTGTGGAAGTGGGTCGCTGACTTCCATGCTAAAACAGTGGTTTAAATTAGAGATCCCAAATTCAAACCACACCCAGCTAGGTATCCAGGGGTTGTGGGTCAAGAAAGCCACTTGGCGTGTAGCACCTCCAAAAACACACCCCCGTCTCGACAGCAAAGCCTTTTTCATTTATCATTCTTCCGTCGATGGACGTCGATGGATCGAAGCAATGCAGCTCTTGGAAGATGTCACATTACAGTAGTTTCAGAGTAGATGGCACGAACCCAAAGATGTCCTTTATATGGGGGTCCATACAACAACCTTTTGGGAATTGTGCCATCTACTCTGAAACCATTGTAAATTGTTATACGCATTGCTTACATGACCTCTAACAAAAATGTGGCCAACTCTGGAGTGTTGAACCACCCAATGTTGGGGTGCCACGTTTTTGCCCGACACAGGGGTTTCAAGAGATGACTTGCGCAACCCCGGTCGCGGTCAAGCGGAGAACTTCCTGTTTGGGCATGTTTGGGCATGATATGAGCGCCAAACAGAAAAGAAAAAATACAGGCATGCAATATTCAACATTCTTCCAGATCAATATGATTCTAGACATTCCATGTTTTTTTTGACATTCCATTGTCTTCCAGATCACTTCTTCAATCATGGCTTCTCCAGTCTCCCCGCCCAGGTCAGCTCAAAGGAGACGCAACCAACAAGGAGAACCCGCGAGCTGCACATCGAACCCTCGAGCTTCACACCGAAGAAGACAAACTGGGAGTGTTTTGGAAGACCATTTTCGCCTACAAACAGCTTGGACATGTCCCATGTCCTGCCACCATCTTCTTGCTTTTGAATGCTGAGAAGTTCCACATGGTTTCGGGATTCGCAGTCAAACTTGGTGGTCATGATGTATCAGATTGTCATCAGTTCATATCAGTTCTTTGGCTCAAACGTTGGCCTTGCCAAGTGCAACATTCTGCCGGGCGTTGCGGTCATCGGGTCATGGGCGAGTCTTTGTCACGGTCCATTCAATCCTGCTATGACCCCGAGGGCACGGCCGCGATCATCCGGAAGAGCTTCGACCTGTTTCAAGAGTTCTTGATGTGTGTGTGTTTTTTTGGCACTTTTGGGGAGGTGACCTCACCAAGGCAGATCCAAGCCACACTGACATACACAGAAAGATACATCAACTTTGCTTTGTTATTGCAGCCTTGCCTTGGTATGTTCAACACGCCACTTCTTTGTAGAATCGCATTTTTTGGAGAACCTAGATGTGGCACTAGGAAGAAGGCGCAGCGGGCAGCTTTGAACCAGTACGACGAGCTGCTGAAACGAGTGGCCAACCGAGATAGCTCAGCGGTGCAGGAGGTCTTGCAATTCGACCAGGAGAACAAATTGAAGGGCCAAGGAGAGTTCAAGGGAAAGCGTCCTGGTTTGGATCAAAACCGCAGATTTTGTATGACGTGTATGATTTCCCCAGCTGTACAAGGGAAATGGTTCGAGAACCAAACTAGGAGATTGGTGTGATGTCCGGTTTTCCCAGAGCAAATCCTCAGGTTTTGGATTGAACTTCAGCAACATGATGATTGGCGGCCCGGAGAATTTCTCAGAACAACAATGTTATCTCAACAAACGACTTGACGACTCAAACAGTCAGATACAAATTGACTTCCTTACAAAACATCAAAGTGGAACAGTGATGACAATTGCCTCTTGGAAGACCACTTTCCTGTGCAAACGGGGCTTTTTGTTAACTTCCATGTTACTTTGGGCTCTTCCATCCCTCTCGGACATGTGTGGGCCAACCTCTCAGGTTTGTTGCTTGGGAAAGTCAGTAGTACGAGTCCTGAAGAAAGGGATACAACCAGGATTTTGTTGGAGCGAAGTTCTGCACTTGATCAGTTGAACATGTTTCACTCCAGTTCTTTGAAGGTTTCTTCCACATGCGGAGATAGAGGCAGGAAACAGGGGAAGGCCGTGACCCAGCTGATGTTTTTAATGGGTTTTCCCTGCTGTTCAAGGCCCCAAGTCTTGGAGAAGCGCAACTCCTTGGGCGTCCCACCTCCGCAGTGAGCGCCCCGCTCTCTTCGCGGGCTTCAGCGGAGGGAAGCAGACGTCCCCAGCGTTTCAATGATCGACGACTCGCATGCTGCGGTTTCACCAGATTCACCTGAAAATACGGCAAAGGATAGAAAAAACAATGATGTGATTCATCATGATTCATGCGCACTGGGATGCAGGGCTTTGCTGCATCCCAGTGTGCATGTGCACAGGTAATATCCTGGAAGCGGTTGGTGAAGTTCTCAGGAATTGGTTTTCGTTGCGGTCACCTGAAATTGATCAATGATACTTTACAGTGCCATTCTGGGGGTTTTCGAAGTCTCTTGCTTGCATTCTTTGTGCCCAGTGCCATGTCCGCTGGGGCACAGCACGTGCCATCCTGACGTGACGGTGTTGACCGTTCAGGATATGGTCTTTCTGGAGAAGAGCATTGAGAAGTTGGGGCAGAAGCTCCAGAAGTTAGAAGGCCAGAGGCCATCGCCAGGCTCTTCTTGGTTGTGAAGTAGTTACACTATATACTATGTACATCGTCGACTTACGCCATTCTCCTATCCCCTTAGTCATTTTCTGCCCAAGGGGCCGAGAGAGGCGAGGTCGGATGGACGGTCTTTGGAGAGGTCGGAGGGTGTCCATGTAAAGCAGCAGTCCACTTGGGGCCCCAGACGTGCCATCGGACCTCTCCATGGTTCATGCGCAGCTGGGACCCTCCCAGGCTGCGCAGGTGTGGGTCATGCCTTGTAACCGGTCAAAGCGGATTGGCATTTGCGCGGCTCCGAGTTTTCCAGGAAGCACCCCAAATGCCAGCCTAGCATGCCAGGTATTCCAGCTGTTTCAGTTCGTTTCAAGCTTTGTGACTGTTTGTGAATCTGTGTAACATTAGTCCCGACGCAGATGCTGTAATTAGATCCGCAACTTCAAGGACATGTTTGGAGGGCACTTGAGGCACTTGCTGCTGTATTTGTTTTGGAGTTGCACTAGTCACTTGTTTTGGAACTGCACTAAGTCACTACTCCTGTTTTCCAATGGAAACATGTATTTTTGTGGTGGGAGTGCGACCTAGTCACTGCTCCAGGCCCTCAGTCATCCCAGCTCACGCGCCGTACGGTCACGAACCCAGGGAGGCTTGGCAAGAAAGGCCTTCGAACGGCCAGAGGGAATTCCTACATAATCCTACAATCTGTCCATGTCTGTCCTATCACCTGTAACAGTGAACATGGCTTGCAACCTAACCATCATCATCCATTGTTATATACTGGTAATAGGGTAGATATTGTTCTGTGGAGCTTGGGTCATACTTCTGGGTGACTGGACCAGGACAACCATTGACCACCAGGGCAGTTAGTTGGGCCAACACGTTTTCTTACACATCTTAAACTAACTTTTTTGTGATCGTTTAAGCGTATATGTTTTTGTTTGTTTAATGGTCTAACAACGGGCCACCCAACCATGAGTGGACTAATTATACCACCTTATAGTAAATTCCAAGAACGAAACTTTAACGACTTGAAAGGTTTGGACATCCAAGAAGCTAGATCCACAGGGACCTCCAAGGAACATTCTAGATCTGCAAGCAGTGGGGAGGAAAGCAATGCCGGTTCGAAACGAGTGGCACTGGTCATGCAGGATGCCAACATGTTGCTAGATCCAGTTGAACTGGTCCATTTTCGCCAATGCCTTGAGTCATGTTCCCTTAAATACATGGTCCTCTTTGTGTGAGCCAGCCAGGTTTCATTCCACATGCAGTGTTCGAAAAAGACAACAACTGGACATGTCCTTCTCGTTTGCGTCACTTCGATATTTCAGGGACCAAGGATCGTGGCACCCCAGGGAGGAGCGTCTTTTCTTTCCGCTACCGCCAGCGGTAGCCGGCGGGGCGGCGGTCAACGTCCGTCCCTCGGGCGGCTAGACAGCGGCAGGTCGGGGAAGGGTTCGGAGGTGATGGACCAGTCGAATGAAACGCATCCCGTTTGACCGTATCATACCCAGACACTCCATGTATGCAATATATGCATATATATGCCACTATATATGCCATATATGCCTACATTGACCCCAAAACTACCCCAATTGATCGGCATATATGGCATATGGAGTGTCTGGGATATGGACAGTCCACGGCTCTTAAGGTATGTAGATGCACCGGAAGTCCGCTGCAAGCCCTGAACGCGGTCGGCTTTGCTGAGGACCTGCCTCAAGCTTCGGGGCAAGTTGAACCAGGCCAGGCCATGGACGACATATTGACGACATCATGAAACACATGTTGTGCGCTTGCTTGTTTAAATGAATGGCAGTGAGATGGTAGTGAGTAGTGGGCGGCGGTAGGGCAAATCAGATCGATTCCAAGAGTTTCATCTCAGGGTTCATGCTAGTTTGGGCGTGCCGGCCCTCAGAGGAAGCTTTCCGGTGAGTCGTGCGGGTTTGAGGCCACGTGGCCTTTTGGGAGGACGACCCATGCAATGCGAGTGACCCATGGCGCGCTCTTGGCTTCCAAGACCTGTGAAAAGTCAGGGAATGTTTGAGTTTGGGTTGTTGAATACTGTTTGGCACTTTCCGGTGAGAAAAACAGATCACTCACTCATTCAGCGCAAGGGAAATTTGATGAAATTGGCCTAAAGTTGGCACACCACGAATTTGCCCATGGCCAGCATACCAGTCGCTTCCCTGCGATAGAGTTAGACTCAGTCGCTTCCTTCCCAAGATGGACTACATGATGAACTCAGTCGCTTCCTTCCACCGTTTCGTCGGCAGATCCCTCGTTCCGTCCCGGCCAGATCGCCATCAACGTGCAGCAGCGCCTCACCCAGGTCAGATGCGACCGGTGTCCGGTGTTTTCATGGACCCGCGAAGGGTTTGCATTGGTTCTGGGTGTTTTGATGTGTTTGTTGGGGTGTTTTCGATGTGTTGTCATTTCAATTGATGATTCTTATCGATGTTTCAAGATGGTGGCATGTCGAGGCACAACTGGAGCAGTTTGGACGATGGTTTGTGGACTATTTGGGCTCGGCTCATGTTTTGGGCTAGGTAGGGGTCATTGAAAGGAGTTTTTGACCCTGCAAACGAAGGGATGCCAGAGATGCCGTTGTTTTCACGGTGCGCCTATTAACATTATCAACAACGAGTGTGAAACGGTCCCACTAAGCCCATATTTCGTCAACACACGGAGGTTTGGTTTGACTTTCGACAGGGAAAGGATCAATTGGAGAAGACAACTGAACGCAACTGAACCTGGTTCTTCAAAGTGACCTTTTGATGACCTGGTTTGAGGTCACTTATATAAGCCTCCTGTTTGGGTCACTTAGGAACCTTCAAAAGGTCACAAACTGAAGAAGGATATATATCTGCAGATCGGGATCGTCGGATGTTTTTGGGGTTGACCCGGGAGGGGCCCAACCCCAAACGGTGCGTCGGTCATGCGTCGAGGCAGAGAAGGAGGTGGAGGACGTGGCAGAAAGGATGTACAACTTGGCCTTGGAGCCACTGGGCTGACGGAAGGACAGTCGCTCTTTCTGGAGAAACAAATCTACTGGAGGCAGATTGGTCAGGGTGTAGTGAGAAGAGTCTGGACAACTAAGTGCAAGCAAGAGTTCCTAGTTCCTTCAGTTCATTGTAAGTCTTCGTCTTAGTGCGGCTGACGTGAACGAGGTGAACTAATTAATTAATACCCATGCTCCTGGGGCATATATGTTGCCTCAGTCCAATTTACCCGGGAGGATTCGCGGATTTGTGGGAAATCCGCGCCAGGTAGGAATTTCCGCGGCCAGCAGGGAATTTTTGCCTCAAGCAAATTCCAACATAGCCGTTCAAAAACCTTCACTGCTGCCTAACACCGACCAGGTTGTCTCTTCCATGATTGCAGACCACAGCAATCGTTCTGCACAGACATAGTTTCACATCTCAAGATCTCACACTCTACGATTTTGACACTTCTAAACTCATGACATTCACAAGGCTGGAGCATTTTTGCGCCATGTGTGTTCAATGTTGGACTTGTTTTGCTCTGTCATTGGGCAGAAGCCACTTTTTAAACACAATGTTTGTTTACATATTTGCTGGTGCAGGTGGAACCTTAATTGCAGTTGGTTTTTCTCATTGAGGTGACCGTTGGCAGAAATGCCCAATGTACACCACAAATATATTCAACTCCTCTATAGAAGTCTTTGTCTCGCTAGATTCCTGAAAGGGAAAACTCGCGGCAACAAAAACATGTGCGCGGCAAAACGTTGATTTCCGCCGGCGGGAAGAGCCGCTCTTTCCTGAAACAGGCCAGAATGTCAGTTGAAAGGATCTTCTAGGTATACCAGCACCTTCCGTTCGGTCTCCAATGGAATACCCAGCCCACGTAGCGTGGATCTCCAGACTGGACACCCTGAGGTCGGAGCGAGAACAAGTTCCCTTATCCACACTCCATGTGAGTGGCATATTGACCTCCATTGACCCCAGGTCAAGCACCCGAATGGATGTAAAATTGCCAGTCCCGTGAGTCGTGTTTGGGCATACATGTATCACACACCAACACACACCCAGAAGAATAAACATGAGGAAGGGGCGGATGTCGCTTCTTGAACCACACAAGCTCACCCGTTCACCGGGCGTTTCGTCCTCCGTCACCGGTTGGTCCGACTGAGGTGCATGACCTTGTCTCCAGGCTCCACCAGCAAGGCGCGCATTCGGTCCAATCAGCGACTTTCGAAGCACCCAAACAGAGCGACGCGAAGGGGCCGTACCTTCCGTTCAGGATGAAGGGGCCCTACCCTTCATCCTGAACGGAGAGGGACCCGAACCAGTCCATATATACAATATATATGGTTTGAGGGAGCAAGGCCTGTGAACGGCGAACGGAGCGTTTGGGAACAGTGAGCTTCAAACATGGAACGGTGTCATGTGTGCATTTTGGAGTCCGACGAGCGCGTGGATTTGTGGCTCGGGTGGCCGGTGGCCGTGCAGCCACCGTGAGGTGCCTGTGCGTGCCAAAGCTGCTGGGGCCTATACGGTGGGCCTGGGGTAGGGTCACAAGTTCACATCCGGACTTTTACGACCTCATTTAGCACCATGACATGCATAAAGCACCGTAAAATACACTGCTTTTTACACCAACCTACGGTCTTTCTCCAGTTCTATGCTGTCGAGCGTCAAGGTTCCTGCCATCATGCACCTCAAGTTGATCGGAGTAGAAGACACGTCGCAAATCATTCAGAACATGGATGGCACATCGGAACCCCTAGCGATGTTTACCGTGCATGCATGTCAGGTAAAATGGACATAAGTGGACCGCTATTTGGTGGAGAGTTGACGCCCTGGTGACTGGCATGCACATGCACCCAACTTCCCAACTTCGAGCTGAGACGGGATTGGATATTCATTCCACAACTGCACCATAGCAAGATGGTGCGGGTGTTGGACCCTGAAACATGTTCCTGATGACAATATATATTCATGAAATATGCTGAATCTGTTTTGCTGTCACAGTTCAGGCACATATATAATGGATATGCAATGGATATAGCAAGAAGAAACAGTTTTGGGTCCAAACATTTGCAAGAGAGAGAGAGAGAGAGAGTGTTGTTGCTTTGTCTTGACTGACTTGTGTTGAACAGTGTTTCAACGAGATCATCCACACCCCCACCGCCGAACTGCCTTTCGCTCCCAGGGTCCACCAGGCGCGGGAACTCGCGCCGCGGGGCGGTGCAGTGGACGAGGTCTTCCGTAGGTCGGACAACGGCAGGTGCATTGGAATCTAAGGACCCCATTTTGTGATCCAACATGTATATCGACATGATATGATATGGTATTACATCTTCAGAATTCATCCCTATTTGTTGAACAGGTTCACCGTTTGGTCTTTTGGGGCTGGGTCGCGCAAGCTTACCCAGGCCACCATGTTTTGCCAAGATAAAGCAATGTCCGCCACCCACACATGGCCAGGTGATATTCACAAGTTTGGAGTGTTTCCCTAAAAGTCCAGCCTGACCCAGTAAAGCCGGGTCTTTTTACATCCTGAACTAGTTTCTTTACATGACCACGTCCAGTCAAATGAGGTCATTGTCCTGTAGGGTTTGGATCGGATCCTTCCAACCTTGGCCAGGCAGTTTTGCGATGTCTCGGGGGAGCCTTTTGACGCAAGGCTCGACCTTACTGGAGCCAGGCATCGTCCGGGACACCTTGTTCAAGACCACGTACCCCAGACACTCCAGGCATGCCATATATGCCGATCAATTGGGGTGGTTTTGGGGGGGTCAATGTAGGCATATATGGCAGTCAGTATGGCAGTCCCATGGAGTGTCTGGGTACTGTTTCCAGAAGTAGATGGCACTGGCACCCCAAGATGTTTTGAAAAGATGGGGGTCCACCACCAAGCTAGAAAAGGCCCAGACGTGCCATCTACTCTCCATCTACTAATCTATTATAACTTGGTTCAGGTACGCTTGCAGTATATGGTCTTCGGTATGCCACCTCCTGGGCCCACTTCCCCCCCTGCGTGTTTCAGTTGCAAGCAGGGTACACAGAGGTAGCAGGGTATAACAGGGTAGCATTGAAAACGGACTGGTGCCACCCCAATGCTTTTTGATGATGCTCGTTGAGAATGTGGAAGTCTTCAATGATGGCGAGTAATCAAGACCTTTCTCTAAAAGTAGTGACCACTCTTTACCATTCTTCAAGACTGTTACAGGATGTTACAGGTAATGGGACACCGACTTATGGCCACAAAGGCCCTCTAGTCTAACACAAACCCGGGTAAACTTACTCAGCCCCATTGAGGCGAATCATCCACCGAACTACACATATAGGCGGTATACCGCTGGACGACAGGTGCCATTCCGCAACCATGCGGCGAGGCTTGTGTCGTTCCTGGGGTTCTATGATGTTCTATGGATTTATATATAAAGAAGGAAGTACATAACTGACCTTTTTCATGGTACCTGCATCCAACCAATGCCCCTTCAGCTTGGTAAACCCCACCACTCGCTGGTGTTGGAGGGGAACCTGTGCTCAACAAGCACACCACATGTTTTCCGAAAAGGCTTCCCTCAACAACAACAAGCTCTAAGGTTGTAGGCTCCACAAGCAGCGGCTGCACCGCCAGGTGAGAGTTCAGTGGTCGGTCCACCCACTTCGACCTTTCGTCCGGGAGCTCGTCCGGGAACAGCTACGAGGTAGTGGCTAAGCACACATGACATACTGAATATTCAATCACGGGAACCTTTTTGGAGTTCAGCTTCCATGGTATTGCTCAACAGTCTAATAAGTCATAAGATCTCGCTTGTAAACCTTTTCCACCAGCTTTTGTTTCTAAATGTTCCAACCCCTCAATCTCCTGAACATCTCAGTGATACACCAGGCAAATATATAGGTGGGTCAAAACCTGAACCGAAACCAATAATGTTGGATGACGATTAGTAAACCGGTCCGCAATAATGTGTTTTTTCCAAAATTATTCCAGACCCCATGTTTGAAAAAGTGGTCCTGAATACTGCTAATGTTTTTGGGGCCCTAATTTTTTAATATTGGAAACCTAGTTTTTGAGGGTTTGAATTCCTTCTGAGGCCAATGATTATGATTCATTAGCTGATATAGGTTTCTCTAGGTGTCTTCAAAACTGATAGCTTTCCAAAACCACCAATTCATACCAATTCCTAATTAAACCCTTTATAAAACATTGCTCCTAAACAAATTTTCAAGGTAGTAGACCAGGAAGGCACCTGATCATCAATAATAGATTTGTTTTAGTGGTTCTCAATTGTGAAAAGTTTTT